AAAAGTAATTTTTAAAATTTATTTTAATAAAATAACTATTAAACACAATTTTTAATTATTTTTAAAAATAATAATAAAATATGATAAAAGTGAGCAAGCAAAAATAGTATAAATAAGTAAAAAGAAAAATTGTTTAAATTAAGATAGTTTAATATATATATATATATATATATATATATAATTATTATAATATTATACTTAAAAAATAGTAAAAAAATGAAAGATAAAAAATGTGAGATATACACTGAAGGAAGAAGAAAAAAAGATTAAAGAGAAAACTTGGAATAAAAGTAAAATTTTAAAAAGTATATATTTTAAAAAATATTTAAGTGTATGTATTTGTACTTATGATAAAAAAGAAATACAATATAATCTTATAAAGAAGGTAATTTGATATTGTTACGTATATACCTTATTATCTATGTTTTTTTTTCACCGTTTGCATGCAAATCTTTCAGTTGATGCTTTTCTAAATCCAAAAATGCGTTAGAGTACTGCAAACAGAATAATCCAATACGTTGTAAATATTTCATTTACAATTTTGCTTTCATTTTTCATAAAAGTAAATAGCATTTATTTTTACTTTTTTTTTTAAATTATTCCAATACTATACTGAAAGAAAGTATAACTTCAATATACTTTTCATTTAAAAGGATAAAAAAAAAAACACAACATCGAAACTCTACCCGCAATACTCAAATTCTTACGGCCAAGTACCCCCGTATAAACAAATTCCTATTTTCAGTAAAGTTCTAACCTCTTATATCTTACCGTGACCTTAAAAATATTCTATTATAATAATTATATGTAAAGCATGTTTGATAAAAAAATGTGGTCATCCTATACAACAAAAATAATAAAGAAAATGACTTTCCATTGATTGCGCATGTACAAAAGTTATTTGGATCTGGACAACCTAACTCAACTCCAGTAGTAGTACCAGTCAGCAATGAGCACCAAAACACATTCACAATTTACCGAGACACTTGTCCCACAATCGCCACTAACCCACGAGAGCATTAGAAATGTTTCATAGCAATGCAACAAAATGTTTACTAGAAATACATCCAATTTGGCCATTCTACAAGGTAAATGAAACCATCCACAATACACTAATAACGAACTTTAAACACCTCATACAACTGCAAACATACATGACAACTGATAACATTTTCTATTTTAATCGTAAGGATTTCTGAATTTCTTTAAAAGCTCTGGTATTTCATATCCAAGCATGTCATCCACAGCTTGAATCATTTTGGGCTTTAGTTTCTCAAATTTGTCGATGCTATAACCACTTAAAACTTCTCTGAAGTGTTCAACATTGGGAAAATCACCAGCAGGTAGATGAAACTCTCTTTGAACCTGTTATACAAAAAGATTGAACTGTAAGTACCTGAAAATTAAACATCCAAAGCAGGAGGAAGAGATGGATGGATGACCTTTGCAAATTCTTCCTCAAGATTGTCAACAAGTCTTTGTTGAGCCTTGGCTTTGCCCATTATTGCAGGCATCTCCTTCTTCAGGTGGCTAATTATATACGCATGAATTTTAGCAGATCTAGCACGTTTCACAAATTCATTAATCTGCACCATTGTACACAGAACAAATTTTGAACACGAGGTTCGGGAACACTCAGTGATCTGCCATCGGCATATATTTAAACTCAATTTTCAGCACTTAGACAAACAATATTAGGTTAACGAACATACCCGGCGATCGCATGCCTTCCTTGGAATATCTATCAAATCTGCAAGCAGATCATTTTGTTCCTTCTCAAAGAGATCTTGTCCTAATGAACTAGCGAAGCCTTCGTCTATAGGCTTATCGTTAAATGAGCTGTGAAGTCAAGCAGGGGAGTACACATTTACAACTAAAGAATATCGAATTAAACGGAGAAGCTATCTAACAAATTAACAATATAAAGTGATACAATATTCAAAAGATTATGCATGTCAATTCTTATTTGGACAAAAAACTAGAAATGTTAATAAACAAAAACAATAAGATCAAACGTTCCCTAAAACAACTGCGAGAAAGTAAATTTGAATGAATGGTTAAATACTTGTAAACAAAACGGTGGAACGTTGAGACATTTTTGAAAGATAACAAACCTACCCAATGTATACACGTGAAACTTCGGGCGTATTTAGAACTTTCCCCAATGACCACATCAATGCTCCATATACTCTCATAAGCTATAATGTTGCGATTAGGCATGTAAGTACATAAAAAGTCAGATAATTAATACAATAAACCAGGTAAATTTGTTGGCCTTACTTGTTGAGTATCAACTTGATCTGCCTTATTCAAAACCACTCGTATCTTGTCATCATTACCACGTAAAGATGTGATTACGCGTTTAAACTCATCACTGATGTCTAGTTTATGAGGATCAAACAGGAGAAGAATGAGATCACATTTTGCAGCAAACCAAGACACTACACCAGTGAAATCATAGCTTCGTTGAGTCCTTTGTTTCTCTCCAGATAGGACACCAGGAGTGTCCACAAGTGTTATTTCATCTAACAGCTGAATTAAAATAAAAAAAAGCTTCATGTTTAAGCACAAAGAATGACAAAGTTATTGGACTTGGAAATATAAAGAAGACTCACAGGATGTGGCATTTGAGAACATTGGAACTTTGATAAGAAAGAACCTCCAAATGTTGTCAAGCCACTAAAAGGCATGTCAGCATCAACAGCAATGGTATTTCCGGGAATACTCCTCTCATCCGGTCCAGACTATAAATAAAATGAGTTTTTTAAACAAGCACCATGAACAAAATCAGAGCACGCCAGAAATTATGGAAACAAAATTGGTAAGAACCGTGATTTCTATATTTTGTCACACATATTTTTCTATTTGGACTTTATTGACTTCCAGAGGCAATACGAGAACATAAAGGAAACTTCTTGTACCATGACAACAACAAATATATCAGTGGTAGGCTCTGGTCCAACATGTGCTCCTGTACAATGAGGTAAGGTGAAGAATCAACAAATTATCAGTTTTATAAATCAACCAGTACATCGTCCGGAACTTAACCCACCTGGATAATCACATCTTAACAAATGTTTTATAAACGTAGTTTTTCCTGTTGAATATTGACCAAGAAGCATGACCATGGGTTTAGCATCAAAATCAGTGTTGGTCTGAAAGGGAAAAATCAAGATATTCCTGAATTTAATATCATCATTTTTATGTGGAATAATACATTCTAAGTGGGGCAAGAACCATGCTCCCACAAATACAGTTGACAAAATTTTGTATCACTCGTAGTTAGTACTTACCAACAATGGAGATACAAAATCATTATATCGATAAGTAACTTCTAACGGCTTTAACCTCTCGATATACAATCTCTTCAAGCCATCAATGATTGACGTAACTGAATTGAGAGGTAACTAAGAAAAAAAAATCAAATTATCATGATTAGAAAATATCTAGCAACAAATAACTTACAGAAAGACTACACGAAATAACTTGACAAGAAACAATCACAAAAAGCACATTCTAAATTACTTCTACATTGAATTTAATCACTCCATTGCCTGCTTATACACATGATTTGACTCATCAGAGTAATGAATGGAAATGGGTGAGGACATGAACTACACATACTTAATAAATGATGCATCTACTCTCGTAACAATTCACAAATGTAAGGAAATGTGCCGATTCCCTAACAAAAACGCGGAATGAAAACATTCATTTGGAACCTTTTGCACCATAAAACTAATTGAGTGAACATCGTAGTATAACTCGCAAACCATACATGGATAGTTTTGTTTAAACTCATTGAAGGTAGTATTATTGGCGGATAAATTTTAGGAATCTCTTCTTAACTCTCAATCACAGAAGAATCAGATAAAAGAAAATGATTAATTCATCTTCAAAATAATGAACAACCAGAGCCAACAACTAATTCAACAAAATGGGATTCATGGCAAAGAAGCATGTAACATGGAAATTGAAATGTCATGAAACCCAAGACAAACCTCTGAATATAAAAATAAATAACAGAACTTACTTTCTTTGAAGATTTTGAACTAAACCACCGATTAGTTGCAAACAGTTGAGGCTGAGCAATCCCTATATATTACAGTTAAAACAATCCAATCAAATTTAATCAAAGAGAATACAACCATATAACTAATTAAAAAAGGTTACGTATCTAACCGTTTACTTCGGGCGCGGTAGTAATTGTTAAACTCTTTTGCTGCGAAAAAAAAAACAAAAAAGGAACCAATAGAACTAACTGACACGATCTATTAATAAATAAAGCAAAAGATAAGATGAAAGCACAACTTACTGCTACTAAAGCATCAAGTCCTTCCAATGTCGGAGGTTCAATATTTTCTTTATCAACTGTAATCAATAACAATAGAGCGATGAACTTACATGTATGATGTATCGTGTTAATATATATAATCGATATTCTAAACTCACATTAACAATTTCTAATAGAGGAGGGATGATTGTGAAAGTACACACTTACTTTGCGTTTTGAGAATATCTGAGTTAAGTTCTTGCCCTGCTTGCGCGAGCGAAACCAACTGTTTTCTTACAAGAAGAAATTTGAATTCAAGAGCCAGAAACCAAAACGACAACATATGAAATGAAATGACAGTTAAAACGTCATACCTGCATTGCAGTAACGAACTCTGGGAAGCCCAAAAACCCTTGTCGTTTGACATCGGCGAGATTCCAAAGCTGTTTGAGTTGCGAGCGCGACAAGTTGGAGAGAGCGAAGAACTTAGTGGCCTCGTTCCCAGAGATTCGTCCATCTCCGTCTGCCACATTCCAATGCCGAACACCAAATAAAAAACGATTCGTTTCATTCTGAAACTGTGGAGTGAGGAAAAGTGTTGAACTAACCTGAATCGGCCAAATTGAACCATTCCTGATACGTCTTTGTTTCCTCTTTGGAACGCGATCCGGTCTTCATCTTCGGAAATCGATCGGAACTTCCTCTCGATTCACTTAGGCGTTGGAATTCAAATGCCAGAGAGGGTTCTTATCAGTTGTCGGATATCGGCTCGCGGGCCTGATTTTGAATTTGACGATGGATTTTGATGCTGTGGTCATTTTCGGTGTGATTTATTTTTTCATTAGAAGTGGGACCCACAAAGTCGATGTAGTTTAATGTGAGACCGTACGATTGCTTGTCCTCTAGATGATTGCGTGGACAGGTTTGCATCGGATACCTCCTTTCTTATTTTTGTCGTTTCAAACTTTTGAATTTGGGCGCCATTTTTACTGGTTTTTACTTCCAAAATGATAATTAAAAATGTGTTGGATTAGATTAAAGTGATTGGGACTTAGTGAGTATAAAGAATTAACAATTCGCATTTCAGTTTCAAAAATAAAGGGGCCATTACTTTTATTAATAATATTATTATTCTTATTGAAAACTAACACATTTTAATTGTTGTATGTTTGGATGGAATAAAACAATGTAGAAAAAATAAATAAGAAATGTACTTTTTAATCGCTAAGTAGAAAATAGAAAGACAACTTCTATTAAAAAAATGTTCTACCTCCCTTCAATTTATTGTTTTTTTTATTTGGTATTCAAGAAAATATAAAGAATGAAAACTAGCAATTTTTCAGGATTTGGAAAAACACAAAAAAAAAAGTAATGGAGAAAAAAAAAAACTCTTCCTGTATCGGACAGGAAACAAGTGCAAATAAATAAATTACATTAATTTTCATTATAAGTGTTTTGCAACAATTCTACATCAGATCAAGTTATTCACGTAACATCTCTAACACGTTTTTTATTTTTTAGTTTCGATCATGAATACACATAAACATATAATATATATGTGGAAAATATTATCGTTGGAGATGGAAAAAATATTGATTATTCTTATGCAAATATAGATGTCCCAAGTTCCGACATACAAGAAATATTTAATAATACACATCTCAATTATAGGACATATGTTCTTACAAAGAGTGCATGTTGAGTAGATTATGTTGTCATGAAAGTTGAATGGAACATATTATAAAACATTTATTGCAAAACAAAATATTTTAAATAAATTATTGTTAAGTTAAATTTGAAAATGCTATTTTTATATGCCTTAAACTTATGAAGTTTAGTTCATGAGTCCGCGTAATTATTCTAAAAGTCCCTATAAGATACATATATTTACTATTTTCGTCTCTCTCTTAAAAAAAAAAAAAAAACTTTTTGGCTCCCCAAATTTGAAATTTTTACTCGTCGTCGGTTTTCACATGGTCAACGAGAACCAAGATTGGTTTGCTTTTGCCAAAAACAATTTTGCGCATTAGAATGACAAAAAACTGGAATAAATCAAACTAAAACAATTTGAAGAATATACCCATAAATATCCCAAATAAATTGAACCATTTAATGGGGTCAAACAAAGTCAATTACACTACACAGATGAGACCTACTCTGTGTGTTGAGGTTCATATTAGATTCTGCTTTCATTTGTTTTCGCTTGAAAACAACAGCAACAGTACTGCATGAAATTATGAAAATATTCACGAGATTAGCACTACTGATAATTAAATTAGATGTAAGAAAATATTAAATATAGTGTTTAGCTTCAAAGAAAACGAAAAATGATACTCAATATTTGATTTTGTGTATGAAGTGATATTGTGTGGCATCACCTTAGACAACCAGGAGGAAGATCCACCATATTGATTCTCAATATTTGATTTGTTAAGTGGTGAAGTATTGGTGATGCTGGAGATTTTGCTGGACTTGATTTCCCTCTCTTCTTTTATTTTATTGAATATAGCAGTATAACCCTCTCCTGATTTGGGGTCTGCGACATCCCAAGTACCAAATTTGGGTATTACAGCTGCACGATGGTTCTGCCCCCATGCAGTCCACATCCAGAAATTTCATCACCATGGAAGACCAAGATGAAGAAAACAATACGGAATGTCATAAAAGAAATTGATCATCACAATTTAAAATCGATTTTATATTTTGAAGTTCATTCGAGGAAATTACCGCGTGGTCATCAAAGGAAGAGTTTCTACTCCTGTTTGTATTATGACTCGACGAAGAGAAGCTCTTAATGCTGCTTTTGGATATGTTCCGCTTGTGATCTGATTGGGGGCTTCTGTGACTCACAGAGTGATCAAAATGGCTTTGCTCACTCACAAACTCTGCTGTGAAACCACCATTACTGCCCCTGCTCCTGCCACGCACATCACGTTGAGTGCGGTTCCCCAACACCCCAAAGCTTCCATTTTTCAAAGAATTTCCATTGTGGGAATAGCCATGAGAACCCATCACCTCATCAGCATCAACATTTTTACCAACTCTCATGCACGTGTGGTTGAAGGCCTCAGGGTTTTTAAATGGGTCATTAGGATTCATCATGACCCCACCCTTTTCTCTGCGTGCATGCTCAAAGTATGCAGTGTATGGAACGTTGTCAGTGTCCCAGTTCCCAAACTTGGGAACGTGACGAGAATGTTGCTGCCATCATGACCCATTGGCAAAAGATTTGTAAACCATGTATATATAATTAGGTTTCGAAACAAATAGAGAAGGCTCAGGACCAAAGTTTTTAGCATACTTGTTTTGCTAAGAAAGCATATATTTATGCGCATGACTAAGGAAAATGACTATGTGATGGAATGATGGCAAAAGAGAAAATGATTGATACCACCAACGAAAACAGGAAATGGTTATTTAGATTAAAACCAAATTAGTTTCTAATCATGTTTAATTCCAACTTATATAATATGTTCTGAGTTGAGAATATAACATATATAGAGAGAGTATAAAAAGAGAAAACCTACAGCCATGATTTAACTAGAAAAATGATCTTATGGTTTGAATCCTGCACCAAAGATCTTTGACTTCTCTCTTGTGTGTGCCTCGGAGATAGGATGTTGGCTTAACAATAGAACTAAATATATTGGTCGAGAGTTTCTGGAAGAGCTAAAACCTTTTATATTTGAGATCGTATAGAACTAGCCACCCAGGAGCGATTATTAAAATCAATAACTTGGCAATACGCAGAATGAAAAGGGTTAACCTCAAAAATCAGGGGCCACGCCCCGGAAAATAATTTGATAGTTACAAAGCTTCTTTGAATATGTTGACGACCAATATATATATATATATATATATATATATAAGTCACTTTCTTCTGGTTCAGCATTTTAAAAGACAGGAAATGACTCCGTAGTTGGCCTGGCTTAAGTTTTGTTCTGCTCTCGGTAGCATTATTCTCCTTTTCATAATCTCGTTTACACGTATCAGAATTTCTTTCTGGTGGCATGTACAATACTTTTTCTTAAATATATATATATATATATATTAAATTCCAACCCACTTTGTTTTTTCATGGTAGTTGCTCTCAAGTCTTACGTATTGTTTTTAATACACTATCCAAGTATCCTCTTCCACCTGTAGCTATAAAACGGAAAATAACAAAGATTAAGATTTAAGGATCCAGCTCCACATGAGCTGTATCATATAGGCCATTGTTTAGGAGGAAACGGCAGGCTAAAGAAATTTTTTAACAATGCTAATAAAATAAGCTTAGAAGGGTACGGATCCAGCTTCACGCAGGTAGTACCTCAGTCCACTCTTTGCATTGAAAAAGAAATGGTAACTATGCTACTAGGTTTAAGTGGAAAGGAGAAAATGCATTTATACTTTTTTAATTCAAGGAAAAGAAAATAATTTTAGTTACTAATGAATAAAAAGAAACTAAATTTAAATAAATTTATACAATGCTATGTAAGTGTATATATTTTATCGCGCTATAAATAACTAATTTTGTTTTGATCAATAAGCTGAATGAACACTTCCATATATGTTTCAGCATATATCGCCAAAAGCTTGTTTCTGGCTCTGCAATTCCATGTGCTGAACCTGTGTAGAACATTGAACTGTAGTAGAACATGTAGTCACATTCACAATAGTCTTAGCAATTTGTGGTGCAAACGTGTATCGTTTACATTTCCTGGATCAGAAGCAGAAAGATCCATGTGAACGGGTGGATATTCAAGATATACAATAAACAAGCATATCACATCAGTTCCAAACTGTCCCTAAACACCAACTGTCTTGTTAAGTAGCCAAAGGCAAAGAGCCAATTGAATGCCAAAAATGGAGTGGAGCCAGGATCTGTCAAGCATGAATCCAAACACTGTGATTCCTGCTCTATTGTTCTCCAAGTATGTCACTGCATCAAAAGCTAGATAACTCAGGACAAAACACAATTGGACTAATACCTTTGACAAGAAAAGTACCACTAAGAAATTCCTCACTTACCTAGAGCCTGCCTCTTGTGGAATGAGATAGTTTGGGTGTAAATTGGCACCAATTTGGTGTTATCCAACTCATCTTCCTCATCTCCTACCTCATCATCGGATGATCCCCAACTAATATTGGCAGCAATAGCTTGGGCTGAAATTGCATGTGCAGTTGTTGGCGTCTCTCCTTCAATGTTGTCAAATGAGTTTATGGTAGCACATATATGCCACTTAGCTGCAAGGCCTGTAACGGAGTGTGCTTTATGTGTGATCTTGGTTGCGCCTCGCAAGAGTAAGAAAAGTCCACTCACCAGGGTGATGGACACCAACTGTAACATTGAACCCAAACTATTACATTCTATTTGCTGTATTTAGTTCATGAAACAGGTCAAACATTTTGAACAAAAGCATAGTAAAATTCTGAATTAAGGATCCATAAGAAGAAAATTGAAGACAATGGTTAAGATTGAGTATAATCGTTATATATAAGTACACATTTTCTATAGAGTTAATTAATCAGAAATCATTCTTAGTATGATAGTTATTACTATTATTATTATAAAAGTCAAACAAAATTACTTTAATATGTTTAGGTGGATAATAGTAGAAAAAATCCTTTACATTATCAGTAGTAAATTCTGACTTTATACATCCACGTTTTTAACTTACTTTAATCAGCTTTGTTATGAGATAATGTTGTTGATTAAGTAGATGATTAATCTGTTTACCAAACGAGTTATAAATGGAGTGAACAAGCTTTACCGCAAGCTCTCCAGCCTTGAGGATATCAACATCAGCATGGGGTTTTGTAACCATTAGCAGAGAAATGAGTTGGCTTGCTGTCACCAAAAGCAGAGAAGATAGAATGAAACTTCGGAAACGATGGCTTATGATCCGAAGATTCCTTCTCATTTTCAGGTGCTCCAGCAAGATTGATCCCACCTCAGTTTCTCGATGAAAAACTCGAGCAAACTCATCTAGCCTGAGTATTTGCAAGTAGCAGATAAGTCGAAAGAGAACACACACCAGGAAGAAAATGGAGGTTCTATAAAGCCAAGAACATAGCTCCAATGTGCACAGAATGATGCTGCTCACGTATATATTACCATAATGTGGTATTTGTGATGCTCCTGAGACGTACCACCATATCTTGTAGGCACATTCTGCTATAAAACAGGGAAGCCCCCACTGCAATATGAGCTTCATGGTTCCCTGCATGACTGAGACCAAGTTATTTTGAATGTTGAATGATGTGAGTTAAGTTTTATCTCCAACAAATGATTCTCAGGTGATGTCCGTTGACGAGTGAATGTTCTTTGAAAAACACATTATTCAACATTGACAAAATAATTATCACAATTCTGAACAAAAAGAAGTAAAGAAAAAGAAGCACATCAGAAATATAACTGCCAAAAGATTATCGTGTTCCCTTCTTTGATTGCAGATCGTAAAATTCTGAAATTGATATTTCCATGCCAATTTCTCAGAGGATATGCTGATTAACTAATTGCAAATAAAAGAGGATTGGACTTGCCAAAAATAAAACATGCTAAAATTTGTTATGGTATCAAAATCTACCATTACAGTTTAGCCTAGGGAAAAATAAAAAACAGAAGTCCCAATTAAAAACATGTTTTTCTTTGTACTAACTACATATATTTTTATGGAAATAATTTTGTTCAATTCAGATATTACACGACTAACATGTTGTCAAAGCTTTTCTTTAATGATATATATATACTGAAATTTAAATTTGAGATTATTATTTAAGCTTAAACAACTCAAATCACTTAACCGTGTACTCAATGCTAGTTAAAAACATGTTTCATAATAGTGCTCATTACTGTTTTTCAATTTGGGCGTAAACGTTGTAATCGGGTGAGTCAAACAAAATAATGAATGAGACATAAAACTTCACAATTGTTTATACAACTCGTACCAAATAAAACGGGAAAAAGAAAAAGAAGAAAGAGAACACAAACCTGCATCTGTTCTGAGTACCCCCGTTGAATCTTGAGGCTTTCATCACCTAATTTATCAAGGAAGAGAAACTTGCCGAGGCCATATTTACGATCCCACGAAGAAATACTGATGAAAGAGAGGGAAGCGAAGATGGAGAGAGAAATCTGCACTGGTATGTGGTACGGTCGACTATGGTCTTGGTCGCAGGTGGGACAATCAAGTAGCAAGTGTGAAAGTATGGGCACTACAAAGGCCAAGGTGAAGAACACGGACCAAGAGAAACCAGCTTTGAAAAAGTTGGAGTGATCTACGTAAACCCATCTAAGGTATGATCTGAAGATCTTCAATTCTGTTGTTCCATCAAGTGCTAAGTGCTCCTCCTTGTTCTTTGCCAGGAAACTCCCTCTTTCATCTTCCATGGCCTTGGAATTGAAATCTAGGCATGCACTAGAATCAGATATAGAAGATTCAAGAGGGTGAGAATGAGATTGTGTTGACAATTGGAATATGGAGTACTGTGAGGGGCCTTAATTTGGATGTGAATGTTGTCACTTTCTCAGCACTCTTTGCTTGTTTTTTAATGTTCAAACTGCAACAATAATGTAATGTCTTACATGTAATGTGTTGTCTCCTTTGATTATTTCATATTAGTTAAGCCTTTTGGATGGACTCCTTCAGAAAAATTTTATAGCTGTATGGTCGCTATAATCATGAAGTCAACGTAATCAACCCCAAAAGTTTAATCATCATATTAAAAAAAAAAAATCACTATTTGGCATCATTCCTGAATTCTGATTAAGAAATGTTGTTATTCAACCCAAATGGATGATTCCATATGGTTCGCTAACTCACAAGCAATGTGGGACTTGCCGAGTTTGTTTGAGAAAATCAATTAGCAACATGAATTATCCCCGACAAAATATGTTCATATATGTTTTTTAGAGTTATTTCAAACTTAAAAATTAGTTAAGATCAAATTCTACATATATACGATGAACATGAAGAGACTTCCAAAAATTGTTGGGTTAATTGAAAGCAATTGTTGTTTTGTGCAAGGAAGTCGGTTAAAAGACAGGCAGGGCCCAGGGGCGTGAAGAGTGGAAAGTAAAGAATGGTGTGTGAAGGCGTGGAGGTTTTTATGGATTTGGTCTTTAATCAGAGCAATGAACAGCTCACAAATGTTTCTTGCAATCTTGCAATCACAAATCCTTTTGACAACTTGTTTATAGAAATTAATGTGATACCTATACACATCGAACATTATGTGGCTGATATTTTTACACGTACTTTAATATTGCTGGTTTTTTAGCACTGGTGAGTCACTTCCTTACGAAACCCTTTGCTACTGAATGCCAAATTCTCTGACGTCTTGTTTTCTCGGTTGTTTCATAGGGTTCTTTTACAAAAATTCTAATGTTTGATTAACATTTTGTAGGCTTAATGGTAACTTCAGTATTTTATAAAATCCCTATTTTAAGTTTTCATTTTTTTTTGTTTCATACTTTTAGTTCTTTAATTTTTAAGTATCCATACTTTTTAATTTATTCATATTTTTATTAATTTAAGTTTGATTATCTCTAACTTTGTATTACTTTAAATATAACATAGTAAGATTTGGGGTAACGAATAGTTTTTTTTATAAGATTCACGTTTATTATAATATTTTATTTTCACTTCAATTTTTATAATTTAAAATTTTTTATTTGACTATTATAATTAAATATTAATCTAATACTGTGAAAATGTTTACATTGAAAACTTATTTTTCATTTCTTAAAATTATTTTTCACGCTCAACTCCACTTGATGTTTCTTATAAATATAAAACTCAAATTTAATCTCTTGCTTTGAAGATATTTTCTGGACAAAACTCTTTTATCGAAGTAACTAATGTAATTATATATTAAAAACTGGAACTTAAATCCTAATCAAATTATTACTTAATCTGCAATGGAATTACTTAAAATATTTGGTGTAAGGAAAGAAAGTATAAAGAAAAAATAAAATAGAAAGTATTTTTTTATTTTAAGAGGAAAATAAAATAATAATAATAAATATTTAAAAAAATAAGAAATAATTAAATAAAATAAATATTTAATAATATAATTATTTATTTAATTATTATTTTTTATTAGTAAAAATATTTTTAAAATAATATATTTAAATATATATCTTATTTTTTTCAATAATATATAATTTGATATGTAATTATATTTTTTTATTATAAATTTTTCTAAAATTATTTAAAATTAAAATAATAAAATAATATTATAATAAATACAAATTTATATTAAATTATTTGTTTGATTTTTATAATATTTTATTAAAATATTAATTAAAAGTATATATATAATTTTTAAATAATATATAAAAATAAATAAATATTTATTTAAAGCAGAATATCTCTTATTATTTTCATTATTTTTCGAAAATAAATATGTTTATTATAGTAAAAAATAGTTATTATTTATTTCTTTGTATTTTTTATTAAGAAATATAATTATTTTTACTCATTTTCTCTGTATACTAAAAAAACTTAATTTCATGTTTCTATTTTATTATGTTAACTATGATTACAGTGTCTTTTTAAATTAAAAAAAATAATAAGGAATAAATCAATGGTACTTTTAAAATCAAATATGCTAAATAATATATTAAAAAATTATTTAAATAATTTATTATTCATACACAAATTTTAATAAAGAAAAATAAATTTATTTGGCAGTTATTTTTCTCACTTTTATCGATTATTTACATTTATTTCTCTTTTCACTACTACAAATAAAGCTTTCAACGTCGGTTCGGAAGACTAGGCGACGTTGAAAGTTGTAACTTTCAACGTCGGTTCAAGCCGAGCGTTGAAAGTATGATTTTTTAAATTAATTTTTATTTATTTACAACCCCTTTACCCCTTTTATTTATCTAGAAGTCTACCCTCTCTTCATATTATATTTTTATTAGGTCCTCCATCTCTTTATATTATATTTTTTATAAGTTTTTTAATTTTTAAGAGAATTGTCATTGGCAGGATTCGAACCCGAGTACTTTAGAGTTGGAGGCTGATACTCCAACCACTAAACTACTTAAATTTTTTGATAATAACATACAAATAAATTATATTTATATACAAATAAATATAAATATCACTTGTAGAAATCCAACCCAGTGACCTTGAATCTCAAATCCGATTCCAGCTTCGAAGATCTTTAACCCAAGCATGCATGACCCGACCTCAAGCTTGAAATCCAACCCAGTGACCTTGAATCTCAAATCCGAGTGACCAAAACACCCAATCAAAACCCAAGCAACTTCGAATCTCAACCCCAGCCTCAACCTCGACGAACTCGAGACCGAACCCCAACTCGGCGACATCGAACCCCAATGTCAAGCCAAACCCAATTGTCATGCTCTGTGAAACCCAACGCAAACCCAGCGGAGCTCAAACCCTAACGCATACCCTAGTGACGTCGAACTCTAACCTCGAGCCAACCCCCACTTTAATTCGGTCGCAATTAGCGATTGATTGATTGCTCAAGGATGTGTAAAAGATGATATATTCAATGTATGTTAAAAAGTTCAAGCCAAATCTGTTTTTATAGAAGATTTTCAAAACTGCTTGGTTTAATTAATCAGTTAAAAGATTCTTTTAATCTGTTAAAAGTGCAGTTTTAATCTGTTAAAACTTCTTTTAATCCATTAATACGTTCTTGATTCTTTAACAGATTTGTTTTAACTGATACGACAACGTTTATATCAATTAAAACACTTTACAAAAAATCTTCTAAGTTGATTTAATCGATTGTTTCAGCGATTCAATCGATTGAAATATCTGCAAAACTTTCTAGTAAAACTTTTCAAGTTATTTTAACTGATAAAAACAAGTTTTAATCGATTAAAACTGTCAGTGAAATTGTTTTAATCGATTGAAACGAGATTTAATCGATTAAAATAGTTCTGATCGGTCATAACTGCATTCTGATCGATCATAATTGAAACAATATAATAGCGGTTCCACCTTAACCGCTATCTAAAATGTTTTTCGCTTGAGCGACACTCTTCTCGCTCGAGCGAAACGCCCCCTGCACAAAATTGGCATTCTCGGGTTGTATTTCGCTTGAGCGACACAACTCTCGCTTGAGCGAAACGCCCCTGCACAAAATTGGCATTCTCGGGTTGTATTTCGCTTGAGCGACACTACTCTCGCTCGAGCGAAATAAGATTCTGATCGATCATAACTTGAAATGATCGATCATACTTGAGAGGATATAATAGCGGTTCCCTTATAACCGCTATCTAAAGTGTGTGAGTTTTTGTGGGGAAGAAAATCAATATATTGCTTAGGGGGTTTCAACGTCGGTTATACCCACACCCGACGTTGAAAGCCCATGCAGAAGGGTTTTCAACGTCGGGTGAGGGCATAACCGACGTTGAAAGCCTACTTTCCACATCGGGCATGCTAAAACGACGTAGAATGTGTTAAAATTCGACTTTCGACGTCGGTTGTTGACCAACCGACGTTGAAAGCATATTCAACGTCGGCTAAGATATAACCGACGTTAAACAATGACGTTGAAAGCATATTTTCTAGTAGTGTTTATTCATCTCTTATTATTCTTTCATTCCATTTTATTCTTCTATTCAAAATAGTCTATTAAAATTTAATAACATGAATCATTTATTATTATTGAAAAATAGTCCATCTTATTATTTAAATAAAATCTTTATAAATTTATTTGGAAAATGATACTTTGACAACCCAAATCCATACAACTCCTGTAAACAACTCTATTTTAATATTATAATAATAGTTTTATTTTATTTTTATTTTTATTAAATCAGTCTATATATTATTATATTAATAAAAGTGAGTTGTTTAAAGAAGTTGTATGATTTCTGGTTGTCAAAATATCACTACTCAATTTATTTATACAACTACATTTGTTTATTATTCATATATAAATTTTAAGGAGATTTTTTTTTATCTGATATAATATAATTATTTTTCTCAAATTTCTTATTTATTTTTTATTCTTTTTCTCTGTTATTCCTGTTTTATGTTCTAAAGTCATCAATGTAATGCTTAGGATTATTATATTTTTGTCATCCAAATTTTAACACATACCAAATTTATGCTAAAGTTGTAATGACAAGTTATAATCTTATTGTAAAAAAAAAAATTATGATTGGAACAGAATGTCATGAAATTACTTATACAATCAATGTCGTTAAATAAAAAGTTAAGTTTTAAATAAAAAATATAATGAAAATACAAATTTAAGTGTTGATATTTATTAACGTAAAACTTACAAAATTAAGTTAATAGTTTTATTTAACCATCTTAACATTGTTTTTTTTTAATTAATTACTTAAATCTACGTTACAGAAAAAGATTTACAACATTTTTAGATAAACCAGCGTATTGTGTATGTTCTTACATCTTATTATTGAAGTTGTAAATTAATAATATTTAAATAAATAAAGGAAATTTAATATATCGTAAATTCATTTTATTATAAAAAATTTGATATTAATTTTATTTTTAAAAAACCAACCTGGCTCATTATTAAATACTGTAATCAAAATGTTATAGAAAAAGGAAAAATGGATTGTGTTAAAAAATACTTTAAACAGAACCTGCCTTCACTCTTTGTTCGATGGAGCGGTTAACGAAAGTTAGGTTTTTGGTACATTCGGAGGAAGTAATTTTGAAAAAAAAAAATAAAATTGCACAACTATTTTTTGTTATTAAATACTGGCGTGTGTATATATATATATATATATATATATATATATATATATATATATATATATATATATATATATATATATATATATATTATGTGCTCATATTTATTTAAAATAATAAAAAACGGTTATTGTATGATAAAATTAATCATATGAATAAGAAAAGTTGAAGTATACAACAAAAATATGTATATTAATAGTTATGAAAAATAATATTTATTTTATATATTAATATAAATTATAGAATACAGATATTATATAAAAATAATGTCTTTTTTATCCATAAAAATTGGTCATTAACACTAAATAGTTATATTTAAAAAAAAATTAATTATGCAATAAATATAATTAATTACCTTAATTATTTATAAATAATTAATAATTACTTTAATTATATTAATAAAAACTGCCATGACATTTAATAATTATATTAATAAAGTTCCTGTACGTTATCATTGACCCGATAATATTATTTTAAACAATCACTTCATTATTATTTTTTCATTCAAACATAGTTTTTTTCTTTCTTTCTAAAACAACCTATTTTATATAATGAATGTCGCGTTATTTGCTCGAGTTGTAAAATTGTTAAATAGTGTTGCTTAATTTTAAGTTACCTTTATATACTAGAAATGACCTAACATCTTTGTAAGATACATGATACTATTGGTTGAATTTATTAAAAAACTATAATCTAAATCCTAAATTATAAAAACTCTATACACATTAGGACAGAGTGCCATTAGCTTATACATTAAATTTATCAAAATTCATGGTCTACAAATTTCATTACATATATTAAAACGAATTTTAGTATATGTTTTTAAAATCAATTATTCAATAAAAGAACATATGAGTTTGAGGTTTAAAAATTGTAATCAAATTTAATAAAAAAATATTTTTATAATATAATAAATATATTAATAATAATATTTTTAATAAAAATAAAAATAATAAAAATATTATTATAATTACATAAATTATAAATATAAAATATATTTTTTTATTAAAATAAGATAAAAATATAATAAAATAACTATTATTTAAATTCAACATAATGAGATAAAAAAAATTAAAAATATATTATATTTTTTATTAAAAAAATTCATATTAGAAATGCATACCCTAAGATCAGTTCTATTCGTTGAAAAATTAAAAATTGTGTTGGTCTCATCTTTTATTTTGTAACTTTGACAATTTTTACCAACATAGAATGGTTACATGAATGAGTTTATTGCTAGCATTTATCATTTAAGTGTAAAATTTTGTATTTTTTTTTGTGTAACATAGTTATATGTAATCGAGTTTATTTGTTTTTTCATTCATAAAAAACCAATCAAATTCAAATAAATTTATTTTAGATAAAAGATATTTTCATGATACATGTAATATTAAAATAATAACTTATTTCGTCTAATATTTTTTTTTCAACTTTATTTTATTATATTTTTAATATTAATTTGATTTAACTTACCGTGAGTGAAAGGACAAAGAAAAAACGAACTTTGAGATTGTAGTTGAAAGAAAGAAAAAAACAAAAACAAAATAAGGAAACCCGAACAGAAAGAATATCCCAATACAGGGGCATGGGAAGTGGCCGGAATTGCTGTAAATGCCGCCTATGACAAATCTAATACCTCCGTGGACTTATCACCTTGTGTCTCCCTTTTCCACTCTACAATCCCGTTAAGATCTCACTCACATCACATACCCCTCCCTCTCACTCTGTCTCAACCATGGCGGCGATTCTCTCCTCTTCCCTCTTCGCTTCCTCCTATCTCCGCAAACCATTTTCTTATTCCCGAACTCATACCAGTGCACCACTTCTCAGGTTCGTAACCTACCTTCCTTCCTTCTTTCCTTCCTCTGTTTTCAGTTCCATTCTCTGATTTCATCTTCTCTAGGTCTCGCGCTTCTCTCCTTCAGGATAACGAGGAAAAAGTGATCGTGCAGGACTCCTTCCCCTCCAAATCCTCTCCTCTTCGCACCGCTGATGGAAAAACTGATGTGGACTCAGTTAGCACGTCTGCGTTTGAGAAGCGGATTATCAAGGTCGAACAATCGGTCAATATCTTTCTCACGGTAATTTAATTTTCCTATTTCAATTCTCAGCTGAAATTCTCTGTCAGAATCACTGTTACTGTTGTATTGTTGCGTATCCTTATCTATTGTCCACCTTTTGAGCAAAAAATTTTAATTGAGTTCGTAAGAGTATGATATTCAGCAAGCTTTTTGTAAGAAAACGGTCGCAGTTTTGTCGCTTTCCTTGATAGTGAAGGAAATTGCCAACAGATGCGGTTGTTGCGGTCTACCAACCTTGATGTTGCGGCGGAAAACAGATAACCTTATACATAGTTGAAACTTTCTTGGCTCATCGGTTTTCTGGGTTATTGGTAGGAAAAAGTATTAGTTGTGTTAGTTGTTAATTACTTATTCTCACCTTCGTTGATAATTTCAGGATTCTGTGATAAAGATACTTGATGCTCTGTACCATGATAGAGACTACGCAAGGTTTTATGTGCTGGAGACTATTGCCAGGGTCCCTTACTTTGGTTAGTACTTGAAATCCTTACTGCTAGACTTGAATATCTTTTGTTTTATAAATGAAAATGTATGTTAGTTTTTTTGGTTTTAATCTTAAGTTCACGGTAATGATGGGAACTTGAAATATTTTAGCTTTACTGTAGTAAAATTTATCATACTAGTAAAGCATCATATTAATTTTGTGCATAATTTACTTGTAAATGTAGGGAGTCCCTGGGCATTTTTTTTTTATTGTGACTTTTCATGACTTTTCAGTATTAACTTTTGTGTATCGTTATCAATGGCAGCCTTTATGTCAGTTCTCCATATGTATGAGAGTTTTGGCTGGTGGAGGCGGGCAGACTATCTGAAAGTACATTTTGCTGAGAGCTGGAATGAAATGCATCATTTGCTCATCATGGAAGTAAGATCTCTGACAAAAATTTTAATGTAACTGATGTCTTACTGCTTAATTCTCTATGTAATTTCAGCCTGCAAATCTGGTTAGTTGTCCATCCAACAGTTGTTTTGTTTTTAGAGGATCAGTAGCTGAACATGCTATGAATAAACTTAACGGGTGAAACAGATGACCTATTGAAAGTAGGAGAAAATTGAGGGGATTCCTTACATTAAGGGAAGGGAAATTTAGTTGCACAGTGGTTTGTGCCACTGAAGATTATGTTTTGGGTTACAAAAATATACTCCTAATGTGCGTATCCATGCTTATTTTGATTGATAATAACTTGGCGGTGGAAAATGTTTTCAGCTGACCATTTTTAATTCATTTGTTTTTATGGATAATAACTCAATAGTTACAAAAAATCCAGTAGAAAATAGCTTCCTGATGAACATATTCAGATAAAAGTTATGCTCTTTTTTACCACTACATCAAACATGGGAAAATGCTTTCTGAAAATTGTTTGTTCTCAGAAAATATTTTCCATCCAAATACTAGAGAATCAAATAAAAATTAAAAATAAATATCACAGTTATTTTCCTTAATAACATCATGCATTCATAGAAATGTTGCATTATTTATCTATTTTTTGTTGGCTGATAAGTTTAGGAGATGTCATATTTTGTCTCTTGTAATGTTCTGTTTTATTGAATTGTCATGGAATGACAGTGTAATATTTTCCAGAAAATCATTTTTTTTCCTGCACCAACCAACATAAAATTTTATCACCACCTAAACTGAAAAATATATTCCACAAAGATATTCTTTGACATAAGACGAATGGGCCCTTTATTGAAAATGAAGAGCAGAATATATTTCTTGGTGGAGGGGGGTTTGCAAGTTTTGTAGTTTGCAAACCACATGCATGAGTTTGACTCTATTATTCACATACTTTATTGCATGAGATGATAAGTTTGGACATCTGACTGCAGGAACTAGGAGGGAATGCTTGGTGGTTCGACCGGTTTCTTGCTCAGCATATTGCAATATTTTATTATATTATGACAGTTTTAATGTATGCAATAAGCCCAAGAATGGCATGTAAGTATTACATACTTGAATTTTGTTTAACTGCAATTCCTGCTACATCTTTTAATTTGTTGTTTGTACTACCTTTAAGTGATACTTATGGGAAGTTTTGAAGACACCTAATGAAAAACAGTCATTTGTCTGATTGAAAAGATAGAAGTTGCCTGCGCATTTATGTAGATTTAGTTATTTGATTGGTCATATTATATCAGTGACAGTAGTAAAGGAAGAGTAACTGAGAAAGCATCCTTGACTCCCATATGTTTTTTTCCTTCTCTTGCATAATTGATAAATATAAAATGAGATAAACAAAAGACATTAAGTTGTGATGCTGAGCTTAAAACAACCAAAGTAACATTTCAGCAGAAACAAACTAGAATGGAGAAACTAACCTTGGTTGTTTTTGCTAAATTATCAATATTTAATCACCATGTTTGACTGAATTATCTTCTACTTTTCGGAACCTGCAAGCCTGGTTCTTCGATTGCTGATTTTCTGTAAATGATTTATTCTGCCGCAGATCACTTCTCTGAATGTGTAGAGAGTCATGCATTTGAAACTTATGACAAATTTATCAAGGTCCGAGGAGGTATCATTCATATTTCTTTCTTCTTTTTTGTGTTATTTATATTTTTATTCTTTGTTTATACTCTTGGTTTTATGCTTTTGTAATTGAGGTCTGGAAAATGATTGGTTTATACATGCTCATGAGTCATGATTATTTGATACAATAATTAACTATATAGATCAGAAGAGCAGGTAGGCTGCAGCATAGTTGAATAATGAGTGGTTTTTATGTTAATGCTTACATTTTTTATCTTCTGCCTTGGATTAACTTGTTCTTGAAATCACCTTAATTTGTTGTATAAACAAAAAGTAACTGAAAAGAAAGCAGATAAAGGTCTATCTGTAGCAGGTGATTCAATAACTCTAACATGGTTTGATAAATATTTTGCAGAGGAATTGAAAAAAATGCCGCCTCCTGAGGTTGCTGTGAATTATTATACAGGAGATGACTTGTATTTATTTGGTAAGCTTTTCATTTTTATGAACTAAAGACTGGAAGAAAAACCTGGAATTTCTCACTTTACATATAATTTTCTTCAGATGAATTTCAAACTTCCAGAGTTCCAAATTCTAGAAGACCTAAGATAGGTATGCCTTGAAACCTAGTCCAACATTACTTTATTACTAATTTACTATACTGAATTGTTGTGTCTGAGGAGGGTGGAGAGAGGATTTTTCTAAAAACAAGGCCTTCAGAATAATCAATGGCTCAAGATTTTAAGTAGCTAATCATTAATCACATTTTGAACATTGTATATCATTTGTGCTGTTAATTGCTCCTGTGCTGAAGTAGAAATATTTGTATTAGAAGTTTCATTCTTGTGATTTTCCTGAATCCCATTGTTTTTGTATAATTATTTGTTTAAGAATAAATCAAAATACTCTTTGCAATGGACTTTTCAATATGCTGTAAAATTTCTCACATTGATGATTAATAGTTTATTTTTCCTATATAGAGAATCTGTACGACGTATTTGTAAATATCAGAGATGACGAAGCTGAACATTGTAAGACAATGAAGGCTTGTCAAACCCATGGGAACCTCCGGTCACCTCATTCATATGCAGAGGATGATGATGTTTCAGTCTGTGCTCTTGAAGCAGATTGTGAAGGAATAGTAGACTGTATCAAGAAATCGGTTACTCCTAATCCAGCTAAGGTGAAGTAGGACATGTGGCACAATACATAGTGCATTCATTTAATAAGATCGGAGGAGGCAGGGAATAATGATTGGAGGAGGTAAATAGTTGAAATTTGGATGTGGCAAGTAATTGCCCTTATAGCAAGTAAAGGTGTATTTAAATTTTATTAAATCAACATAATGGAATATCTTATATTGACAATCTTCTGTAGGTTAGATGTTCATACTTCACTCATCGATGTTATCTAAGAAAATAATATTATGGAGATTGTCAGTTTTGCTCTTGCTCTTTTCCTTATTTTTTAAATTTGGAGCTTTGCCATTAGAGAGGGTTCCATGCGTTGCCTTGTAGAACCATATCTACCACTAAAGTATTCAGATTATGACAACTGGATAAAAAAAAAAGAAGAAAAATCACGGGGAAAAAAATACTAGAGTGGACAACAAAAAATGACAGTCTTGGTGGTTGGTTTGGTGGGATTGGAAGGTTCACATGACTTGGTATTTATAAGGTGTGAAAATGTGTGTTTGGAGTAGCCATGGTGAGCTTGATTTTCAATCGATTTTCTTGGGTTTGCTTCTCAGTACCTCTTCGGCTTCTCAGTTTTCTTCCGTGACAGTCTTTTGCAACCAATAAGGATCGATAAAGGATAAACAACATATTTGTATGTAATGATGAAGTTAAACATTCTCAAAACTCCAAACTTCATGCATTTTCACTTATTCTTCAAAAGACAATGCTTTAAGACATTCTTCAAAAAATGAAACGTCAGCAATTCAAGAATCTTCTCCATTTAGGATTGATGAAATCCTCTTATTAAAAACATTTTATTTTCTCTCACAAATATTGGACCGTTATTACATGAACTTCAAAAATACTATTATCAAACACCTCAACATTGTAATAACTAGCATGATTGGAAGAAAAACCTGATACTTTTATTGAGTGTTTTAAGCTTGCAGGTGATCGCAGATAACATTTCTTCCTGCACCAAAAGAACTCAATAAACATCTTTCGTTAAGGTCTAAATGTAAAACTACATTTTGGATTATCCTTTCATTCCAGAAAGGAGGTGTTGCTTGACGTTTTTGAGGAGCAAGAAATAGCGACCTCCAATTATTAATACAGTCCAATTTCAGATGAATGATGAGTGGCTTTGAAATATGGTCCATGTTTGTTCAGCGGCATCTCAATGAAGTCCCTGGACAAAGTATCTGAGTGGAAATTGATAAATTTGGATGTTTGGAGTAGATAGGTTTTTAGTTGTTTTACTTCATTTTTGCTTAAACAAACCCTTGGCAACTGAGATTATTTCTGGTAATTGTTTTTTCAGAATTATCAGTTTCTAACAATCAATTTTGCTCACCAAAGAGCAGTGAATTCGTTGAGGACTGCATATTTGTCCTTTAAAATAATTGCTTGATTGTTTCTTCTCCCAAATGTTGGTAGCATTCATTTTACACCATGAGGTTTTATTTGATACGGGCATACGTTAAACTTGTTACTTTTGGAGACATGATTGCTTTGGAAGTAAGGCAAGAATGCAACATGTGGTGAAGTTGTAGTTAGTGGTGGTGAATGAGTTTCCCATCTCAGCAGGAGATGATGCTCCGAAAAGCAAAAGCAAAAGTAGAAAAGTAAATAGCTAAAGGAACTTCAGGTTTATCTATGGCCTTTGATGGACTGTTTGTATCATCAGGGCAAGGGATAACCATCGTATCGTCAACTGATTCCTTCGAGCAAAGTGCATAGGATAAGTATGTTTCCGTGCATGGTTCATCATTGTTATGTGACAAGGATACATGATTCAATATAATATTTCTTCCTGTTTCACCTCATACATATTTATTTCATTACGTGTTCATGGAGAGGGGAATCATAGAAACCTCTCCAGCAATTTCCTTATATAAAATTTTCAATTGATTCTAAAACCTAGAATGGATGATTGTAAGAAAAATCTAGATGTTGCTAGTTATGCTTTATTTTAAGTTTAACTGTGGTAAACACTTTATTTTTATCCACATTTTATTTTTTGTTAGGCATTTTTCATATTTTTTTTTGTTTTCACCATTCTTATACTTTTTATTTGTTCGCACCTGGACCGGTTCGTTAGGTCACAGGTCAATAATGGGTTATATGCAGATCGGTCGAAAAACAAGAGAAGTTATTGAGAAAGCAGTATGAACTGTACTATCCATGTCTAATTTGTTATACTAAGAAAAATAATTAACATCTTTATTTCCTTAATCTCATTTAACTAATATTATTTTTCTAAACCGTGTTTTACTAAAATTTAATAAAATAAACTAAAGTTCATTGGAAATAATCCTCAATTAAACAAAGATATTTAAGAATGATATATTAGTATATTAGTTAACATTGTTTATATTTTGGACTATCATACTTTATTTTAATTTTTTAATATTTGAGTTCCTAACTGGTAAATATTTAATATTTTTATGTTCTCAAGTCATTAAATATGTTTATTTATAATTTAACATTTTTATGATAAATTTACTAGAAAGTTTGTAACACCATTTAACATTATTCTAATTGAAATTTGTTTAAAGACAATAAAAACATATTTTATTGTTATTATTGGTAAAGAGTTTTGACAAATTTCTAGGGAAGATTTTTACGTAATATGAAAATCCAATCGAACCTAATTTGGATTCTTTTTTTATTAAATCAAATTTAACATAATTCAATCTAATTTAATCTCTTTCAAGTTGAATTTATATTTTCAACCAAAAATTTAACTAAACCTTCAACTAAAATTATATAATAATAATATAATTAATATTTAAATTATTTAATTATTCTATTAATTAAATATATATTTTTAAACAATACATATTTAAATATTAATTAATATAGTCTACTTTATAAAAAATATATAAAAAAAATTAAATTAATTTTTTTAATAAAAAATACGTTGCATAAAAACTTACATATAAGAAGAATAAGAGTATTTTTGTAATTATAAAAATAGAAAGAAAGAAAAATCTTCTTCAATCTCCCGTTACCATAGTTGATTCGACCTAAGTTTCTTTGCTATTATTATTGTAGATTTCAAATCTAAGAAAGAGGTTCCTCATTCTTTCTTTTGTTTCTTGAGTACCAATCGTATTTTTAACATCCAAATTTAAAGATCAAATCGTATTATTATGATAAAAATTTTAGTTTGTCAAAAATAGATAAAATTAAATAGTTCATTAGATATATAATTCGTTATCGACCTTGTGCCCTCTATTTATACAAAAAAATAATATTTTAATTTTAATTTTTTATATTTTTAAGATAATCATAATATAAAAAAAAACAAAATTGTTGTTATTTTGAAAAGCAATAAAAAAAATGTTCTGATTATAGTTATCTTTGAAAATAAAACGTGTGTTTTTATAATTACAGAACCTAACAAAATAACTTACATTTTGTAAAATCTTTAAAAGATCTGTATATGCATTTATAAATCACTTTAGTTAAGAGTCTGAGAGGATAACTTCATCATCATCCCAAAACACAGATTTTATCTTAAAACTAAAGAACGAAACCGATCAAAGCAGAATTGAACTAATCCATTCAAGCAGTTTAATTAACGAACAGCATTAAGGCCTTAGACACTATTGTTTCACATAATTAAGTGTTTTGAAGTATTTGGTATTGGTATTCGAGGACATATCTAGATCAGTGTAGATAGCTTTAGGTTTAATCCCATTAGTCGAATGTAAAAAAAAACTCAGATAAAAAATTTATGACTAGACTTATTTTGATACAGTATGTTAGGCTCTAACTTAAGTAAGTTTAGGTTATATTAGTCATTTATCTATTTTATAAAATAATAATAATAATATTTTGAATAAAAATAAAAGTAATACTATATATAAATATTATAAATTAATTTAAAAATTTACTTATTTTAATTAAGATGAATTATTATTTTAGATTAAAAAATGATAAATAAGATTTAATTTTTAAGTTTTATTTTGAGAATAAATAAATTTATTTTTTAAATTTATATATTAAATTATTATATTTAAAATAAAAATTAATTTAGTTAATATATTTTTAATTTTCTTTTATTTAAGTCGAACTATTCATTTTAACAACCTAATTTGTACACCCTGTTTTTTTATGTATTATCAATAGGATTTTCAAAAGATTTAATCTAGTTTAATCTGACTGGGTTTAAGTAAAAAAATTAATAATTTAATTTAACCTATATTTTTAAATTGACAATAAATTTTGACTTGACATGACTTAAGTAAATAATTAACAAACCAATTTTAGTCTAATTAAAAATTAATAAAAAAATTATTAATGTATTTGTATCAAAATAATTAATTAAAAAGTGATTAAAAAATAAAAAATAAATTTAAATATGAATTATATTAAAAAAATTAATTTTTATTTTAAATATAATGATTTAATATATAAATTATAAAAAAAATCATTTATTTTTAAAATAAGAGTTAAAAATGTATTATTTATTATCATTATTTATTTTTTAATAATTTATTAATTTAAAATAATAATTTATATGATTTAATAAATAATTTATTAATCTAAAATAATAGTTTATCTAACATAATAATTTATATTAACTATTAGATTATGAAATAAAAAGATATTAAAGATCTATCTTTAGATTAAATGAATTTTTTTATTAAATATATATATATATATATATATATATATTTATTTAATAAAATAATATTATTTTTTTATTTATAAAATAAATATTATTTTATAATACAAAATTTTAAGTTTACGGTTAAGTAAATCATAACATAAAATAACTATTATGATATTAGGTTGAATGAGAAGGGTAAGTTATTAGGGGTGTCACGGGTTGGCTCACTACGGATTGAGTTGAAAATAGGTGAGTTTAACTCGGCTCATTTTTTGGCGAGTCAAAATTTTTATAACCCAGACTTAACCCACCACAGGTTGGTGAGTTAGGTGGGTTGACTCACTAACCCATATTTTTTTAAAATTTTTAAATTATATAGAAACTTTGGATGTAGAAACTTATGTTTTCTTCCTTTCTTTCTCAACATCAGTATCTTCGTTATTAACTGAAATTGGCTCATTGGATTTTTCATTAATAATAAAATCATCACCAATATAATTTACATTGACACTTTGATGTATTGTTTCAGATTCCATATCGTAAATTAATTTAAAAGAAAAAATTTAAAAATTCATATATTAAAAAGATATACGTATAAATTAATAACAAACAACAAATAATGTATAGATGCTACAATTTTTAAATAAAGATTCATCAATCAAATAGTTTAGGTTATGAAACAAATTCTTACCTTTGAAAGCAATACGAGTGGACATGGTGTAGTGGTGCGGTAGACAGACGAGATAAGAAGACAAGTGACCCAAGTGCAGTGGCAAATATAATGGTGCAACGTGTAACATCCGAGTATTTCCCAAAAATATTTCATTAATATAATAAAATATTTTGTCATTAACTTTAATAAAATGATATTATGAGTTATTTTAAAACTTGATAATTTTTAAAGATATTAATAAATAATATATATATATATATATATATATATATTATGAAATTTTTAATATAGTGAAATAGATAAATTTACAATTGAGTTTAAAATGAAGTAATAATAATAATAAGAGTAATATCATTAAGCAAAATTAGTAATATAATTTACCATTGATGAAAGGATTTAATTGGTAAGTGAAAAAGTAAGTGAGGGTAATTTTGGAAAAGAGGTTAAATTTAAAGAAGAGAAAGATCAATTTTCTTTCTCACTCACGGAAGCCATTTTGGGAGCACGGGAGGAAGAAGAGAAGCTTGATTTTGCTTGCCCACACCATCTTGGTTCATATTTTTTGCAATTAAGAGTAAGATCCATGAAATTAAAGCATTGGATTTCAATATTATCTCTTAAAATCTTCTTAATCTCAAATATATAGTCATTTTGATGCTTATAGGAGACAAACTTTTCTTGAACTAAGGATCTCTATTTTCTTGTTTAAAAACTTCATTTGAGGTAAGGAGAGTCTTCTTGTCATCAACCCTAGGCTAAACCATCATTTATCTCACTTCTACATTAATTGGAACCAAATTAAAATGTTTTATAAAAATTTCGTATGGCTATTCTAGTATATTTAGATACTCTACAATGCTCCTTTCATATTTTATAGTTTAGAAATGGATTCCTTGGATGTTAAAACCTAGAGTTAGTCATAAAAATCACTTAAATTGGATTTTTCTAGAGGAAGATGATGAAATATGTGTTGAGAGATGTTATTGGACAAAAATCTGCATGTGAATAGAATCTTTGGGAAATTATGTAAAAATATTTACTTGGTATTTAATTCTGAAATTTTGATTTCATGTTCCTTTATATGTCTAGTTTGTGTGTGATTTATTTCAAAATTTTCTGACCAGTTGATTTTCGATGAAAAATCTTGGAAGTAAATATGTTTTGAGTTGGGTGAAACAGAATTGTTATGTTCGCTCAGCAACTTTGAAAAATCATAGAAAATCGAAATTGAAGTTTTTTGAGATGAATTTTTTATCATAGTTGTGATTGTAGATATATGTTAAGTATATTTATTTTCATAATTTTATGACCATTATTTTATTTTATAAAAATATATCTTTGAGTAATGCCCTGATAGTGGAATCTTCAAAACGTATGAAAATGGACGAAAGTTTTGAATGACTTAGAAATCTTTAAATTTTGAATTATAATTTTTATTATAATCCTAAAATATATGTATTTTGGACTGGAAAATTTCATAGAATTTGGAGTTAGTTTAGATGGCAAAGAATTTTTCCAAAGTTACATTTTTCTAATGCTTATGATAGATTTTTCTTCCTAGAGAAGTGTAAACAAAACTTTAGTTCTGGACCTATTATTTATTTTATGAGTATGTATGATGTGAGAATGATAGTGTAATGAGACATTTTGGGACACAAGATTAGAATAACAAGGGTTTAGAAGATTTGATGGATCGCAATGTGTGCTGAGTCCGAGAGTGTCCGACTCTCGGCAAATTTTTATTGTTCTTGTTTGATGCAGGAAAATGTGTTTATAAATTTGATTTGAATGTATTTGTAAATTGGGAAATGTCCAAATTACAAATGAGACTCTGTCAAATTTTTGAAATTGATGAAAAATAAATAAAGCTTAATAAGAATGGTATAAAGAAACGTTATGAATAGTTAATGCATTCATAATCATGGTAGTTAGTGGAAATCATGTCTATAAGTTGTTTGTACTATGTGCTGAGTCTAAGTCAGAGATGTTGGTCATCTAAAAATAGGGTATTATGTCTATAGTGATATGGTCTGTATGATGTAGAGTTTGTTCCTACCAAATATATTGTTGTTAAAGAGTTGATGGTGTCACTCAGTGACGAGATATGTGTGTGGATGGTACGGAGATACACCGGGTGCATTGTTTGGCCACGCTCTATACTCCCGACTTGACTCTTTGACTTTGCCTTTTTGCCAAGGGATCGTTATGCGTAAGCATTGTATCTGTGATGCGCAGATCAACCGACGACTATCTATACTTCTGTGAGCCATTTATGCTCGTGTGTAATTTTGTTATGTTGTGAGAGTTGTCTGTACTTATGTGTGATCCTTTCATGGATTGAAAGATGAGATTAATAGTGTATCCTAGGTGCATGAACATTTCAAATGTGGCAAAAATGAACGAATGAAACACAAACATGTATTGTGTGTTTTTAGTTTGAGTAATGTGATTTGTGGAAATTGTTTGAAATTTCTGTGTGGGATACTTTATTGGAAAAAAAAAATGAAATGTTTGATTATAAATGTTACATATGGTTTTAGATCGTAGAGGTTGGAAAAATTTTCGGTTTAGTGTTCGGAGTGATGAGAAAAGGAAACTCATCCTTCTCGTTATATTTCGAGTAATGATGGAACAATTGTGGTGGAGGAACCACAGTTTGATTGAGTATCATATACATATGTATGGAAGAATCTTTGTCCTCCGGGAGGGTATGATCTTGTATAAGAAAGTTAGGAATTTTAGGTACCGCTTTCTGGTTAGGATTTGCTTTATTTTGAGATGTATAAATTTAAATTAAGTTCTAATCGTTTAAGGGTACCAACTTTATGTAATTATAGTATGATCCTTGTTGGATTAGTTATTTTGAAAAACAATGTATTATGATTATGAATGTTATGTATGAACATGTTCGACACCTTATTTATATATATTTATTCACACCAATTTTAAAGTTCATTGTCATAAAGAAATAATATTGTAAAAAAAATTATTCCCATTTTTTAGAAATTAAATAAATTAGAAAAAAAATGGCGTTACACATGAACAATCGATAACAAATTTAAGTGAGAGTTTAGCTTGTGATGACGACTAACAATGTATGGTAAAGGTAAGACAAGATAACATCAATTAGGGTTACTAAAATATTATAATTATTTTTAAAATTTAAAATAATTAATTAATTAAGGTTAGTATATTATTATAATTATTTTTAAAATTTAAAATTAATGGTGGATTACGGATCAACTTATGATAACCCAAATTCGAACCTGTTTAACCCGTGAATTAAGTAAGCCGGATTCATTTTTAACTTATAATCAATATAACTAAAACAAATCGAATCCAACTTGACTCGAACCCGCAAGCAGATTAACTTAGGGGTTAGAACTCGTACTCACACTCCTAAGTCATGGTATGCAAGTATGTTCATCGTACTCACACCAAAAACCTATATAAAGCTTTAATTTAATTTCCATTGGCTGCGGGAAATGTTTCCTCTTTGGCCATTATTTGCATGGTGGAAGGGTGATGAAAGAATCCTTATCCCCATATTAAATAAACTAGGTGAAGTTAGAAGAAGCATATAATTACCTAAACCAGTCACCTATGACTGCTCTTTCTTTTAACTTGCTCTGTCCTTTTCAACTAAGATTTGTGTTCTGTCAGTTACATGGGGGAGTGCCCTTTTTGACCGGAAAAGTAAGCAACATTTCCTGCTGCTTTAACCGCAATTTTCTGTCCACCATTCATCTATTGCGAACACATTAAATTTATTAGTCTTAAGATAACACAAACTCGTTTCCTGCAACAAAGTAATGCGAAGGAAAATCTATGTTGTTCATAGACTTTAATTAAGCCGTCAATTCAATGCAACACATATCCTATTCTATTCTATTCACACGCCTTGCTTCATCCTTTTTTCCTTTAGTAGGATTTTCCCTTGCGGGCTACTTTTATACCAGTCTAACATCTTCTAACGCACTTTTCAATACAAATTTTAAAATTTATTGATAACTACAAAATTATCTGTAATTCACTTGATATGACATATTTACTCATTTTTACATTTCTGACACGAATTTCAGTCAATTAAAGAATAAACTATCATGCACTTAGATCACATGTCTAGTCAACAACCATCTTATATACCATATTTAGAAATTACATGTCAATGGGTGTATAGATTAACTGGTATGGTTCTAGTTTAATCAGAAATTTTGAGTTGTATAGAATAATTGTTGTTTTTAATACTGTATCCTGCTCAAATATGTATTGTATATATAAAGATGGTTTTCATACTTTGGACTATCTATAATTTGTGTTTAAAAAAGAGTGCATTCGAACATTTCTCTTTTTATATTGAACAAATTCAAGCAGATACTTTGAGTATTATTTTGGACAGGGAAGAAGGTAGATTTGGAGGAGTGGTGCTTGTGGTCCCACTGCAGCATTATGACTAGCAGAAATTCCCCCACAAGAGGTTTTATAAATGAGGGTGAACATTATAAAATTAACAAGAATCATGTAGTTCTCTTATCAAATGTAGTGGCCTACTTCCCTCAATTCTTTAATCAATTTCCAGATGCTACTGGCAGCCATTCAGTGATGGGTTTCAAATCCAAGGAAGCTGCTTTCTTACCAACTTTAGATTGCTAACATCATTAAAATTATTGTTTGGTCGCTATCTAATAGTTTATAACATATCATTATTGTACCTTTCGGTTCCTCAAATGGAAACTTAATTAATTACCAATCAGAAGGATTGGCATTCCCCCCTTTTAAAAGTAAACCCCTATGAGAGGTTGGGACGACATTAATTAATACCCCAACATGCAATTGAATCTTTTTCGTAAGAAAAAAAAAAAGGGAAAAGGCACAAGAGAGAGGGAGAGTAATGGAGTTTAAATGAAGTGAATAATTAAATGTTTAAAACATATACATGATGAGTAAGACCAATGGCACCCGAAACGCAGGTTTGGAGTAATTGAAGTTAACAAGGGAGTGGTTACTGAATAACGATAGGTGAATGCTTTGCACTTTTGGCTTTACATCACATCATCACCAAAGCAAAACCAAAACCACGGGACATGGTACTCAATCCAGATTGGAACAAGATCTGACAACAGGGTTGGATTACTGTCGCAACATGTGTTAATATTTTATGTGCATAATAAAGTTCAATCAACTTAACTGCCCAAAATAAATCCAAATATGCATTGTTTGTCACGTCATCAAACTAACAAAATTGTCCAAATAAGTAAAAGATTTCATGTTACCCGTTCCATTTCATGAGGAAATAAATCAAGAGAAAATCTTCATCCCTTTTTGGTATTTCTATTCACTTCAATTTCTTCTGTGTTGTGTCCCCACCTCCTAGAGAAAGATGGAAAATAGTTGATTACTAGTGCTTAGGAGTCGTCAATTCCCTTAGGCCACTTCACAACTTTAACTGTTTGCGGTCTTCACCTTTCCAGTGGGTAATTTTGTGTTGGGATAATTTTAGTTTAAATCGCTCTCTATTTTTTTACTATTTTTTTTAATGCATGGCAGGACAATATATACGAAGCAAAGTATTTCTTGTAGCATTCCTTATTCTCAAACATAAAAAAATCATAAAAAGAAAAGGTGCAAATATATATATAAGCCAAAGAGGCATTATGAGAGACAGATTCTTGTAAAATGGGCAAGACGAGGTTACTTGCTAAAACAGTGTATCACTACATCGCACTAACTCGACCATCATATCACAGACGACATCGCTGATCATACACACACAAACTAAGATCAACCTAATACTTTATTATGAGTTATATTATAAGGTTTGATTATACTGCACAAGCTTCCATACTAATTATCAAGGGCATCAAACACTAATCGGTGAGCTTAGTAGCCTTTGTTTATTATTAACATAAACACACATAACCGTTCGCATGCTTTCATATAAATATATGCTGAGGCTCAAACTGTGGCTATGGCCCCCACATCAACGCTTGACACGGCCTTCATAGCTTCAAACCTTGGCTCTTTAGCCTGAAACTTGAGACCAGCATAGAGCTTCATGTAATCATCAAACACAAATTTCGGGTACACTTGGCTTGTATCATCCGATTCCTTCACCAAGGCTGGTGCTGGAGAGATCACAGCATCATCACCAGGGTTATAGAACGAAGCCAGGGACATTCTGTTGCCATCCGTTTGAGCAATGACTCGGTGCATGACACTCTTGTACTTGCCATTGGTTATGACCTGTTAATGTCGCGGCCACAAAAGCACAAAGCAGATCAATTATGTAGAGGAATTAAAGCTAATAATAATGCACTGAATGCCAAGGCTAGTTATCACTATGCTGTTGGGTGTGATCTGTGATTGGAACGTTTATGATATGGTATATATTTTCTTGTATGAAGAAAAGTGACAAGTGAAGAACATTATACGGTAGTGGGGGCATGTGGCCATGTAGATGTATATAGTATGTAGGTACCTCAAGTTGGTCACCAAGGTTGATGACAATGGAGTGACGCATTGGTGGGACATCGATCCACTGGTCATCCTTGAGGAGCTGCAGTCCACTGACTTTGTCATCTTGGAACAGTAGGATAATGCCACCAGCATCAGTGTGAGCTCTTAGGCCCTTGATGAGATCAGGGGTGGGACAAGGAGGGTAGTTGCTAACTTTGGTGCCAAAATTTGGGCCCTTGGATCCATAGAACACCTTCTTCAGGTACCCTTTCTCCAGTCCAAGATTCTCGCACAGCAAGTCAAGAAGATGCTCTGCAAGTTTCTCCAATTCCAGTGCAAACTGCTTCATTATCTTCCTGAAAGACCAAAACACATAGTGAGAATGAATAAGGATATGGTTAATAAGTCAGTGCATGAATTGGATTAATGTCTACAAACATAAATTTCAGAATAGCTTTCATATCTTGCTTTGGTACTGCTTTTTGGTTTAAACCAAATATAAGCTGTGGAAGTGGTAGTACCTTTAGAGAAAGTAAATATAAATATATCTGGTTAAGCTGAGTTTATTGGATAAACCTAGATTGAAGGTAGGGAGAGGGAAAATGAAATATCGAACCTTACAGTTTGGAGAATCATAACATCCGTCCATAAAGTAAAACTAAAAAAAAAAAAAAAAAAACTTAATTTTATTTTTAGTTAGGTCTGATTGAAATGAATTTTATCCGAATTTGGTCTTGAAATTGAGATTGAAATAAAGGAAGGAAGGAAGGAAGGTTGATTCCACAAACTGAGTTTGAAAACAAGATTATTCAAACTTAAGTTTGTAAATTTTGATCCAAATATGCAGTTGATGTCATTAAGTGTGACCTGTATTCTTCATCAAGATCTGCGTTGTCTGAAACATTGGAGACCGGAAGGTGGCGCAGAAAAAAGGTGCTTTCCCAGTCCAAGTCCTTGATTTCTGCCTGAACAGACTCAAGACCTTTGCTGGCGACCATTTCTTTGAACCTTTGCTCCATAGTCTTCTTGTAGTGCTCTTTTGTTAACCTTTCCACAGTGTCCATCAACTCAATGGATATACCATGGTTCACCAACTTGAAAAACAAACACAAAGCAAAAACCAACAAAACTAATTAATTAATTAAGCCCTTTCACAAAAACTCATCATGCACGAGAAATTTTCTTGGTAAGTGTGAGGGACATATATGATTAGTACCTCAAAGAAACCCCAGTGCTCACAAGCATCTTTTATCTTCTCCATGGCAGCTCCTCTCTCTTCAGTGTTCAGCTTTCCCATGTCAACAACTGGAAAGTCTGCCATCTGCTTCTTTCTTTTCTATCGCTTTAAACAATATGTGATTATGTGATTGTGAGTATATGCTGTGAGTGGTGATGAGGTGCAATCTAATGTATTTATAGCCTTCAAGGGGAGGCTAAGAAAGGAAGAGATTTATTGAATTGTTTAAGAAAAAAAGAAAAGTTGTGTGCGGACGAATGTTGCCTAATTTTCTACAATTTTTCTTTTTTCAAATTTCTACACTTTATCATAAGGTAAATCAAATTAAAGAAAGTGCAAGGACAACTCTTGTGCAAAAAGTTTAAGAATTAATAGTTAAACAATAGACCAGTTATATGCACCAAAACTCTCATAATCTTTTAAGAACAGTCTGTTATTTTGTTATCTTCAACCAACTCCAAATGGGAACACTAAAACATTAAAAAAATATATAAAAGAACTGTTGAATCAAATAAGTTAATTTGTAAAAAATTAAATAACAATGTTTTATGTTTAAAAAATGAAAATGAATTTATATTCTTAAAATCAAAATAGTATATAAAATAATTTAATTAAATACAAAGACACTTTAAAATATATTATATTATTCAATTATATGTTGTCATATATATATATATATATATATATATATATAATATAATATAATATAATAACTTTGTTGAATTCTTTAATAAATATTTTAAACATCATATTTAAGAAATTTCTAATCTAATGAAAAAAAAAACTGTCGTATTAAAATCTGAATATGGTATGAAATGATATAATTACACTCTCATATTAATATTTCTCTCTCTAAGGAGATGTAGTTCACGGATTTTAGTTGCATACACTGACAATAACTTTATATATATATATAATAAATAAAGTGAATCATTTTTAACAATTTTATACATGGGCATGCCGCCAATATATTGAGTTAACGACTTACTTTCTAAGTCTGTATAGAAATAAAATATCCTTTATCTCATGAATGAAGTATTACTGTTTTTATTAGTTAAAATAATAGGATATGATATTCTCATGTTGAACATCCTTGTAATTTTGTCATGCAAATTTTTTTGCATTTAAATCTATCTCTCCATTTGTTTATTTAATGTGATAGACACGAATTTATCATGGGAAGATTCATTCTCACTAATGACGCGGGTGAAACAATTAACTAATCTGAAGTTGAAGAAACCTCCGATGGTTTTAGAACTAAAGAGAGGACAATGCTTCTTCTTTTTTGTGTGGCACATGAAGAATGGAGAAACAAATAAATATAAAGGGAACCAAGTTGGGTGGGAAACATTAATAGGGGAAAAGGAAAAAAAAAAAAAAAAAAGATGAGAAAAATATGAAAGTTTCAAAAGACAGAGCAGAAACTCGTGGAGAATGTATGTGTGCACATATTGATGGACCCCTACCACCTTTTCTGAGTGAGAATTAATGTGACCATGTTCTTCGTTAAGAGTTGGAGTCATCTTTGGTTGTGGTGGGGCATGCCAATGGGACCCTCTTTCTTTCTTCATTACAATTTGACCCAACCCCACAACCACAAGTGGCTACACCAATCACCACCTTTCCTCTTACACGCGCGATTCAATGGTCTTTTTCATTCCGGTTTCTCAATTCTTTGTATTGTTTTTATGCTATAAAAGAGTTGTTAGTTTTTCTTCTTTTCTCTCAGGAAGCATGGACACATTAATGAAACTACGACGAAAAGATCTAGCCTCTCATTTGTATACATCCTATAAAGGACAGACATAATCTAAGCTTTAGATCGACATCATCATACCTAAATCAATTATCCTCTCGTCTCGATCCATTGTTCCTTAACTCGACAAAATTATCACGAAGAATCGCGTAATAATCATTCTATTTAAACATATCTAATCACGTACATGTATAGGTGCCCTTTTCATACGCCAAAATTATTTTATCCATATTGCATATACTAATCTAATAACTTAACTTCCCACTAAATACAGTGTTTTCATATTTTTTGCCAACAAGTACTATTTACATGCATTAGTATCAAAATCCAATTATCTCGAATCCAAAATATACTATAAGAACCTATAAGGTATAAACAGATTAAATTAATTAACATTGTTTAATAAAAAATTTCTACGATTTTATTTGTAATACATGTATTAAGAATACTTTTTTTACCATATAGCCAGAAACTAGTTCCTCTTAAATATAGAAATTGCTTGAATATTTTATGCTTTTCTTAACAAAGTTTATTATGTAGGCACAGTTATGTAATTTGCCTAAAAAAATTCAAACTTAATTTGTTTGTATACTATTTATATATAATAACAATGCACCAACAAACAAGAATTTGGTAAGAATTAGAAAAATGAAATGTCGTGATCCTTAATATCGTCCACTGCATGAGATCGATGCATGTATATGAGAACAGTTATGGTGGATTTTTCGTTTTTATTAATCTTAATTAGTAATTTGTTAAACAAATATTAGAGATGAAATACAAAAAGTAGATCGTCATCATCGTATTTGTTCATTGCATGAAATCGATTCATCTATAAAGGATCAAATTTAAAACTGTTTTTTTCGTTTTATAATGCATATTTGGTAACAAGAGGAAACTTATAGCGATAGAATTTGAAAGTGATAATAAACAAATAATAAGAACCAAAACAAAATACTGTAACTAATTAAAATTCAAAGATTAAATTGACCAATGACCTCATTGTGATGGATACCCTAATATAAAAGATTAGACAGCAGCCAGCAAGAGGGTCCAAAAACGACACAGCATAAGCCATCACTCGAGGCTGCATGAATTTAGTGGGAAAACTCAATATTATATATATATATATATATATATATATATATATATATATAAACCCTATCCCACTCACATTAATTATTTTCGTTTTATTTTTTCCTTCGATTATTGTAGGAAACATGAATCTTTGTACGATGTGTTATACCATTTCTTCTAACGACAACAATCATACGTATCTACACGTGCTGTTAATAAAACGTAATATATCTACACGTTTTCTGGTATATCATTTGACTTCATGTTCTGTTCGTATCGACTTGCTTTATTTAATGGATTATGTAAAAAAAATTAAATAAAAATTGCGAGTATTTCATTTATACTTTTTGTGCTACGAGTTCTGTACATAAATTATCTTCTTGTAATTTCAGATACAGATAATTTGATTTGTCACATAGTGTATGTGATGCCTCCAACGTCTTAAAAAAAATAAAGAATCTAATATAATCATATAATATTATTTGGGTTCAATATACATATATATCTAAAAAAAAAAATTAATGATCATCCTATCTATAAAATAAAATTAATATACGTGTATATCACATGTGAAAATAACTTAAATATAGGTTTCAAGATATAAAAGCAATTTAACAAAGATATAAATTAACTGGTTGAAAACAAATTTAGTATTAGAAAATGTTCAGAAATATCATTATTCTCATTAACAAAATTATCATTATATTTCTTCCATGGCACGAAAGGAAAAAACAAACATGTCGAAGTTCCGAAAAGATGTTAAGCTATGTCATCAACACTATGCATATCTCCTTCCCACCATTTGAAAAGTTAATTAGCAACAAGAATCTAAGGCAATGTATGTAATAATGTGAGTAAATTAATGCAGGATGTACTATTAACCCTTTTTTTAACTTTCTTGTGTAAGTTTTCATTCTGATTTGTGGTAGGCAAAAGCATAATTATACCTCCTGAAAAAATCAAAAAGCAAAAGTGTGACTGAACGTGTGAAGTAAAAAGTATGAGTGGCACTATAATTAATAAAGGATCAATTAACATGTCTCAACTCGTGATTCAAGTACAAGACATGCATTCAGAGATTTCGGAAAATGTTTTCCACTTAAATTGAATGTTAACTTAATTAATGACAATGATGATGATCTAACTAAGTCATTTCAAGTAAATTACTTCTCTAATTTTTTTTATATATTTTAATTAATTATAACGTCAAATTTAGATAGGAGTCTATTTTTTAATTCTTAATTTACCAGTTAGTTTTTCTTTTTTTTAATTTATGAGAATCCACAACGTTATTATCTGACCTTTTTCTTCAATTTGGAAGTTTTTTAAGATATCACTCTTACTTAAAAAAAATGGAAGTCGACAATGTTGATATATACATTTTAAATTTTAAGTTAATTTTTTTTAATCATAGTGGAAACATATTGATTTTCTGTTAGTAATCTAATATGAGAAATTTATATAAAAAGGAGAAAAATTCTGAGACCGATATATATTGTTTTAGTTACGTGAGTTTTGGTTATATACTATATTTCGGCATAAATCATTATATTGACCAAATGTGTTCAAATTTGGGTTGAATTATTGTGTATGCAGTTATTGCATGGCATATATGAAGAAAATATGCACAGAAGATATAAATTTATGCACCTGTTATGAAGAAACCAACAAAAGCTCCTCTGTTCCATTATAAGACAATTTAAGGATGTAAGTGGTTTCTTGAATTCGAGATTTCTATATTCACAATTCTATCTAATTATATCTTTTTAGTTATAACACCTTATTCGATTGGTCGAGTTTTTTTTTAGTTATTTATAAGCTTTAAATGTAATAAATCGAGTCTAATCGAATTATTTTTAAATATTCCAACTTGCCCACAGAATGTATGTAGGTAGCCATGGCTCTAACGGTTTTTCTTGGACAATTTCTACTTAAGATTTTATTTCCATTATGGAGATTAACTTAATCTACCAATTCATAGAACTATAATTTTATTTATACAACTGTAAATTAAAAAATAGTTATATGATTATAATATTAACAAAAGGATTAGTCCAATTTAGTAATTTGATCAGTCATTTAAAAGATTTTAATTGTATTTATCGAATCCGTATATTTATGTTGATTATATTTTTCAGATTGAGTTTGATGTTATGTTTGACTAATGAGTCAATTGATTATTTTGATAGTTCTTTAAAAATAAAAAATAAAAGTAAAATAACTTTTTAAAAAATTTAAGTTATATTAATTA